CTAGTTCTATAGCCGAAGCTTACGCTTAGCTCACTTCAAGGGTCAATCCGGTCTAAAGAAGGGGTATGCCAGGAGAAAATGGGCTGCCATTCACTGGCCTGACCAGATCATTGGGGACCATTCACCGTTGGTTCCACACTAGCGCACTTTGGTCTTTCTCAGTTTCTCAAACCACCATATCCGTCGTATGAGATCACTATCCCCGCTCGCCAGACTGCTCCAAAAACCGAGGCTGTAAATCAAACGGTTGCCGCAGTTCTCACATAATTGACATTTCTTTCTAGACAAGCGCAGTTCTCTCAATTTTCCAAAGTATGGCCGAAGTGCAATGGTAATGAAAAGACACGAAAAATGAGAATAGAACTGGCTTACCATTTTTATCATGGTCACAATACCTTTAACCGCTGCCATAACGGAGCGAAGACCGGTTACGGCACGGTCTTCAATTCCCAGACAGTAGCATTTTTACGCTTCTTCTACACAGGGACTGTCGGAATAAGGCTGTTTCCCACAATTAAAAGAAGAGAAAAAGGAATTGTTTGAGGGTAAATAAAAGGAAAGAGAAAAATTGCTGAGGTGCCCAAATTTTCTCGAAATTGTGCCACGCCTTGCATTTGAGTTAGAATCAAGGAGCGCTCAAAGGCGTATGTCGGCAATATACTTGGGCATTTGGGATAGCAACATATTCAGAGGCTGCGTGACACGATAGCGTCGATGTAACGGATGGCTAAGGCTCTGTGGGACGAGAGACTGCCATAATGGCGTAGGCCATATTTTGTTTCCTAATGGAGTTCTCTGCGCTACCTCGCAGACTCTGTCCTAGAGGATGCCCCCCGTATATTGCGATAGCGCTCTGCAAACTTATGTAGACAAGCACCAGCAAGGCCCTTTATGAGTCATTGACCTCGTCCCCTGAGTTATATATATCTAGCACCCATTTTGAAAATCTAGCGGTGAGCACTTCTTCCGAAGGCTAGACATTGTCGACTTATGATTCGGGACTGCTTATCAGTGAGCGGCTATGTGAGCGCCATCAGGCAGGTGGGCTTGTCCGATAAATCTTTAGAAGGCAACTTTTGGGTGAACGCCATTCTTGATTTCTGTAAGTTTCTTACTCTCCTCCTATTCTTTATCCGCTAACATTTTTCACAGGGGTTCGCAGAAATTTCTCAAAGCAGCCATGGGGGTGGGAGACACGACATATGTTCAAGGGATAGAATCCATTGAATATGTAGAACAAGAAAGATCCTCAACGTGGTAGTTGCACGGTTGAAAATGCAGGGCAGATGTAAAAAACTATGCAGAAAAACACTTGCGTTTTTGATTATTTCAATTGGTCTCTAGGCATTTCTGATTATTCAAATGGTTCCTGTTATCCTTGTCATAGGTAATTTTTGGTAAAATCCGCAGTCGCAATAAGTTGGGCTATGTCACTAATAGCTCGAGTTGGAATGAGGGCAGTGACAAGAAGAACCGCCACCAGACGCCGATCAGTTCATCGACTTCTGCCATTTGGACTGAGTTTTCTGTCGCTTATGATTAGGCCAATCAGTATCCACGATCGATGACGATTAACTAGCCGCGATTACCGAAAGCTTTCACCTGACTAGCAGAGTTCACGAGCTTCACAAAACTTCTACTGAATAGCATCAGGATACGCCTATTTTAATAACACAAACGCAAAACGGATGAATTAATCTCTGTAGCTCGTTACCATTCAGCTTGCTTCAGATGCCAATAAGATCCCGGATGGTAGTCGGGTGCATGGCGTATCCTTGACGTGTTTACTTCCGATGGGCGCTTTGCATTTCACCATTGACAATTCTTCGCCAGTGACGATTCGAAACATTCGATTAATCTTTCCGTTACCTTTAGCGAAAATAGCTATGTGTCCTGCCAAATTCTGGATGGCAATTGAGTGCATGGCGCATCCTGAACACATTTACCAGCAAGTGCACTTAGACTTTTTCCATAAATTATTCTAGAGAGCTGATTTGTCCCTTTTCGCATGATTCCCCCGCAAATAACTATGTGTGTAACACCACCGGCAACTAATGTGATTTCCGCGCGATCATGAACTTCCACCCGTACCGGAGAAGCACGTCTCGGATTCTGCGAAATTGACTTAACGCTAATGTTCAGTCGTATCGTATCCGCTCGATACTAGGAGATAGTTTACACCACCGACTAATTGATTATATAGATAAGAAAACATCGCGTAGGGATATATTGACCGACAATCCTTTTTTAAGGCAACACTTCATCAGTTAGGTGATCCTTTAAAGTAGGGCTCAGGTCTTTTTTGAAAAAACATTACTTGTACTGAAAGTTAAGTAACCTCCCTTCAAAAAGCGAGAAAGTGTCGGGTGCAGACCAAACACCACAACTGACGACGGCCTCCAAGTAAATCTGGTTAGAAGTTGTTCATAGCTGATTTCTGGTAAATGATTTGTAATTAGTGACAATCGATAGAATACAACTGCAACAGGCTAATCATTTCATTTGGCAGAAAACATTAACATTTTGTGAAGGCCGTCGTCACTTGTGGTGCATGGTCTGCACCCGACACTTTCTCGCTTTTTGAAAGGGAGGGTATATCCAATTTTGCCGCGATGAAGTCACTGATTGATGTGTAACAGCTTCTATTAAGCTTTTTCTGGAGTAATTGGGAATGAGAAGGATGGGCATTTCTTGGGTCAGGTGACATTTGCCGGAGCAGAAGCCGGGCTTCTTATTCTAAGAGCTTCATGGAGTTTTACGACTACGTCAGGTCACTCTCAAAACGATCACTGACTTGCCCGTAGCAAGCCTCAGCTTGACCTACGTCTATACTTTGACTGCTGACCTGCCATGCGGTTCTTGATCGCTCCCCTCGCCCTTCCATCCTCTCACAGTGGGGGCTTTTCATTTACCACTTCCACATCTGAGCTTTTATCTGACTGTGCAGTAAAGAGGGGCAATCTACATAGATTCACTCTACTCGGAGTACAGAGCTACCGTCTCCTCAGCTGGTTGCATACTGAGATATTCTATTTAGAGCCGATGATCCATCCATATCATTCTGACAAGTGGGGCAGATGATCGTTTTCCTCATCCGAAGCGGTTGTGGAGCAAATTGCCATCGTCGTGTAATAAACGTCAGTCCAACAGGGACTAATGGCATCGCTGCGCACGAAGTTTCAAGAAAGGACAACGTTTCTGAGCCGGATCTCTGTACCCTCTCGCTCAGCGTGCTCTCTCCCTTCTTCTGTTTTCTCTGCTCGCTCTGAATTTTTGTCATACCCTTTGTCCCCTTTTTGTCATAGCTTATAAAACGTTTATATAAGTTTAAATAGTTTAAGTGTTTCTTTCACGTTCTTTTTTTTCATTTCAGCCTACCAGACACCTCCATCTTCATCACTAAGCGCCCTCACAGCAATTTTATCCCGTGGCTTGCCATTGACTCCGTCCTTAGTTACACCACGGGCCTCATTTATGCTTTTCCGTTATCTTCCTAGTATCTTCCATGTATCTTATATTCTATATTAACCTACTTGTTACCACTTCTCATTTTATTTTCTTACATACCTTTTCATGCGATAAAACCGCCGTAATCCCATATGCTTTGAGCGATACCTCGCTTGCGAACGATGCTAAGAGGGCTGGAAATCAAAAAAAGTCGTTCTGGTGATGACTTTTTGTTTGTCTTTATTGCAGAACAAAAGTGTCACGACATCACCCCGTGACATTAGGTCCGAATGGTCCATAAAGCCGAATCATGCTTAGTCTAAAAAGGAGCGATAATGATAGTTCTGTCTGAATGCTGAACCCCTTATTTAGGATAGGCCTTCCAGATAGCTAACTACTTACTTCGCATAGAGTTTTTCTGCAAAGCTTTTACTTCAAACTGTAGATATATAGAAGGGGCCGCTTATCCTGCAAATAGTTGACAAACCAGCCAAGGATGCCTTAGAATCAAATGGGTGGGGACATGAAAATTGGCCAGGCACTTAGGAGTCTCTCACGCATGCCGGTCATGTCAGTCCTATTTTCACTTCAGGGCGATGCTTTACAGACCGTTACAAATGCATTGAAACCACAATGCCCCCGGATCTTGTGATAGCGCCTACAAGACATTAGAAATGCAGTACAGCTATATTTCAAGTTCCAAGTTCAGTCACAGCCTCTTGCAAGCTTCAGTGTTCCGGTTTGATGATCAGCCGACCACCCTGAGTCCAGCTCTAAAAAAGTAATGTCTATGACCTCCTTATTGTCATCACCAGACGAGCTTTTGTTGAAGAAACTATGTTCGTTGTGAAGATGTATGAACAATTGGGCGGATAGAGAGAAACCGACCGACCGACCGATCTATCACACACACATCAATTACGACACTGCACTCCGTTATGAAGGTTTACAAAAAATCGCCTTTGTTGCGTATCAATCTATCAGCCAATGTGTCGAGAAGAGGGTGGGGAGGGGCGGGGTATTTCACACCCGTCACAAAATCGAAAAACTCACAAATTTTTAGATTTCTAATTTCATAGGTTGCACCGCTCCACCTTAGACGACATAGATATTTGCAGTGATGGTATCTACTTAGGCAAACACTAGAATTTTTAAGGTCTATACTAATAAGGAAGGCACTTGGTGCAACAGATCGTGTCGCCTACAGTAATCCTAAATTCTGCAGGGAAGAGCTGCGGGGCCAGGTGCAGCAAGCCCGGACAGGAGTTGGCCGCTACAACCTGTCTTTAACATCCGGCCGGATGTGCAGTCGGCTCATAGTACAAGAATAGGGGAATACTACAAGGTCGCTAGTTTTGGAGACCCAACCCTTGCCGGGGATTGCTCAGTCGGTCCCTGGTGAATGAACCATTTCGCAATTGTCCTTATTGCCTTCTCAAGACAAAACGATCTATTGGTTCATCCACCCCTGCAGAAATCGGGATTACTGTAGGCAGCACGAAAAATGCACCAAAATCCCTTTCCTTCATTAGTATAGACCTGAGGTTTTCACCATGATCTGCCAGTTTTATCCAAAATTATCAAGATCTTCCAGCACCACAACCCGACGACCTGCACCGCCACCTCCAGCTCCAACCACTCGACCAGCTCCTTCCACAACTAGAGCTCCTCCTGCAACGACAACAACTCGCGCGCCAGTACGTAGCAGCTCTCCAAACGCGGCACGATGTCAAGCAATAATCCAAGATCCGCTAGTATCGGCCGAAGAGATGTGGAGAGAGAAACTAGTCGTTTCTACAGAAGGTCAGCTCCAACAATGCAGGATGTTAGACAGTGGTCGAGATCTCTTTTACAGACAATTCTAACCGGAGAACAGTGGATTTGGACGCGGTAATTCGATCAAATCTGGCGAATGTTTGTGTTCCGCGACTGGACGAAAGCAATTGCGAAAGAAATACTTGCTATAATGCATACTTCAGGTGAATACCCTGATTCTACGGTATTTTTTCCCATTGAGAGGGTTTTAATAATCTTCATAATACTTAAGGACCATGGACGGGACATGCAACAATCTCCAGCATCCATTGAGAGGAGCCGCCTATCGCCCTTATACTCGTCTTTTGCCAACTGTTTATGACAATGGCCTCTCGGAACCAGTCGGTAAGGACTTGGAGGACTTTCTAATCCTTGAGAGCTTCACCTTTTTTCCTGCATCTATAGCCACTTCTGTTCAGGATCAATGAACCCTCAACTGCGCCCATCTCCTCGAGCAATCACTCGACATCTCACGTCCTCTCATGCCTCGGTTGTCTCTGAGGACTACAACGCTATGGTTATGCAGTTCGGACAGTTCATTTCGCATGACATGGCAAAGGTAGAGCTAATTTGACCTTGGAAACCTGTAATGAAGCACTACCCGCTTATGCTATGTGCTGTTCCTATGCCCCATTAGGGGAGGAAGAGCCTTTCTAGGAGCGCCTTGCTCCTAACGGTCAGTACCTTTGTCAAATGTCCAGGAAAAGGCATTGGATCAAAAAGCGCCAGCTCAAGGGGAGCAGATGGTGCTGTTCAACTCTCGGCCGTGGATTTCCTCCTATACCGGCATACCGGAACTCATGGCCGAGCCCGGAAGAATGGTCGAATCTATGCTACGACTATAAAATGGGGAAATTTGGCGAAA